TTAGTAGTTAATGACAGTCATAGAGAGTGTTTTTCTTGCCCCTGGAGAGGTTTTAGACACAGCTGGGGTAGATTTGCCACTATCAATTATGCACAATTTTAAACAAGAATTGGCCAGCAGGGGCCTCTTTTTTTTGCAGAGTGCAGAGCGTGAAGAACGGGAATATGGCAGCTGGTACCTGCCTACAAGGAGAAGATATATAGGAGTCAAGAAAATAAGGAAAAGATTAATAGCTTACTATTTTTAAAGTTGCAGTTTCAACTCAGAAGTTTAAATGCTACGTTAAAAGTGGCCCAGTGTTGTTTGGTGTTGTATTTTTTTTTTTTTAATTCAAGTATCCTAACTTTATTGAAAGACTTGATCTGGCCCTGGCATAGCCACAAGTAAGTCAGTAGTCTCTGTTTTTAAAAGCCAGCTAAGGAGTCAAGATTCTGTCTCAGATATCCTGTTGCATTGTCTTTTCATCCTTAAATGAAAACAAGATATGAATTCAATTAAATTTCTTGGTATAGGTCAAATTTCACAGACAATAATTTTACAAAAAGGGCTTGGCTTTGGACTCCCCTCCACCGATGTCAATCCAGAGCAACTCCAGGTAATGGGAAATGCCAAGGATGAGAATATGACCTGAGTAAATAGCTCAGGTCCAGAACAGTCAACATCTGGATCCATCTAGGTCAGCCTCGTGAAACAGCTGTGTTTAAATTACAGGAACAAAACCAGCAGAAGGCCGTGGCTTACAGGCAGAGCTTTAGTTCTCTTGAGATGTGAAGGCAGCTGCAAGGCAGTGGGGCCATCCTGGAAGGTGACTGTCAGTACGCAGGAGGAGCGTGCCTTAACCCCTATCTCAGTGATACCGTAATTCAGGCACACAGGACTTGCTTGTCTCATGGCAACACTCATAATTTTTCCATTATAGATGCTTTAAGTCGGTGACATTATATTCACAAAACGGGAAAACCACCACCAAAAAAATTCTTCTGAGGACAACTCTGAGCACTGTCAATTGTTAATGACTTGTATTGACTAGGCTGGTTCCCATCTGGAACAAATGCAGTTAGGATTAGATGAATGCTGTTGTGTAGGTCAAAAAGCCTTTCTTCACTTATTGTACAGTTATGATGCATTTTTCCAAAAATGCTGTCTCACGATCAGGCATGAAATGAAACTTCTGCCACCCATACACTTCTACCTCCTCCTCCCCCCGTTTGCAAAGGGAAGGGGAAGCCACCAGGATGCCCTGGTGACCTCTAGGATCTTAGATGATGCCATCTGAATAGTCAGAAGCCAGAAGCAATTGGAATATCCTTTCAGAATGCCAGATGGCTGGTAGGAAAACGTTATATTCCAGCTGTTAGAGGCTTTATAGATTTCATCGTCATCTGAAGGCGACTAGTTCTCATTTGACTAGGTACACAGTGAAGGTGTCATCAACATTATTAATTTGTTGGAATTTAATATCTCCACTGTATCTGAAAGCTGTAATAGATTAGATAAGTGATGTCAAGTACAGTAAGGAAGAGAAAGGATTCTGACACAAGATTTTTTTTTTTTCCTTTTAACATTTGTGTTCCCAGTTTTATTATTTGTGAAAGCTAGCTGACAGGACTGGACCTTCTCTCACATCCCTCTCCTGGGAGAGAGAACAAAGGAGAGAGGACAGAGCTTTGCTTACGAATCACTTGGCTTCAGTCCTGCATGTAGCAGCAATGTTGCCACTCAGTGGTAGTTAGGGGGACATTGGTCCTCAGAGACCTGGGCTGAGAGGCTCTCCCGAGTTTTACCCCACAGAGCACCAATTTGTAACTGGATGCCACTGATTTTTCATTGCTGCTGGTAGATGCTGAGCCCGCGATGCAGGAGTGAGGGCTCTTGGTGCATCTCTGCCCAGCCCTCCCCGGTGTGCACCTCACATTGCTGCTGAGTGACGTTATTCACTTGTTGCAGAGCTGAACTAACAACTTGCCAACTCCGAAAGAAAAGCTGCGCTAGATGCTAATCTAGCAGTATAATGTACTAGACTTTGATATGAGGCTGTGTTTCCTCTACTCCCTGTCTACCAATTCTGATGACATCTGTTTCATATTTCCCCTTGATAGAAGTTGTGACACATTACAACATACAAAGCCTGGCTGATTCCTAAAGCAAGCTTTACAGAGGATGCATTTATGTGAAAAGAATTACATTCAGTATGTGAAAGGGGCCAAGCTCTGCTTGGAGATGAATCCAGTACTTGCAGGGAGTTGTTCCTGTTACTCCTGTAAACACTGGATCAAGGTCGTGGGTGCAGCCCTCTATTTTGTGAGGATTTCCAAGAGAAATCCAACAAACATGATACCTGGGCAGCTGGAGGGTCAAGTTTGTTATGTGATCAGTCATAGTAGTCCGAGAGAGGGACACGGGTGAAATGTTGCTCAGAAACACCTTGAGGAGCTGAAGGAGCTGGATCATATACCCAAGGCTAACACTTCACGGAGAGTGCCTACATGTAAATAGGGTTTACTCATGTGAGTAAGCCTCCTGGGGCTGCATAATAGACTGTGTGTGGTATGTGTCTCCTTCAAAGGATAATAAAGCTTTCTAATTGGAAGTATTTTAAGTCTAGATGGTAGTTCTGTCAGTGTTTTTCCCCTTCGTTTTTTTTTCCTGCTTTTGAACGATTTTAAACTGACAGCCCTGGGGAGTGTTGTTTCCTCTTATCCATGGAGATGTATGGTATGGCAGGGTAAGGATCCCACCTTCCACTGAAAAGACCACTGGATTAGGAGTTTGTGCTGTTATATAGTAGGTGCTCTGTGTGCTGCTATACAATGCATGTGGGAAAAAAAAAAAAATCCATATTAGCAGGGATGTCTATACTCTCCCACATCTTCCCCCTACACTCTTCTTTAATGGTGACACCAGACTGGATAATAAGAAGCATCTTGTATAAAAAAGAAGGGAATCTCAGACAAGGCTTTCAGGGTTCATTTTGTTGGCAGCTTTTTAAGTGGAGTTTTTTAGGCTCTTCTGTTTCAAATACCATAATACTTTTTGAGTTAGTAACTATGAATTACGACAAGCTTTCTTGATATGCCAGGTTATAATCCTTTAGTGGTTTTGTTTATTTCAGAATATAATAGGAAGCCGTATCAATTATCATGACTGTATAAATGTTGTTCCTCTCCACTGGAATATTCATCTTGAGACATATCATCAGATGTTACCTGTTCTGACAATCACGTTTTTGTGCCATTGTTGGGCAACAGAAACAAAGAAAAACAAAATGCTAAGAGTGTAAGGGATAAAAGAGTGTTGAAACTGTTGTTCTTTTCCTGTCTTTGGAATCTCCGAGATCTTGAATGTTTTATTCCTGGCTGTTATTTTGTTACCACCGTGTGAATAGAAGTCATTATCTGTAAACATTTGAGAAGAGAGATGATTTTCATAACTTTAAATCCTACAAAGGATTCTAGTAATCTGCTATGTGCATGCCAAGGTAAAACTCAGTCTTTCATCTGGTCTGATCCCACCCAGTCAGTGTAAAATGTTCCTTTGGTGAATGTCTAAAGCATACAGTATCTTTTGTGAGAGGCAGATAAAAACAAAAATAGGAAGCCTGGTCTTGAAGGCAGCAGCAGGAGAAGGTATAGTATAAAGAAAGATGTATTTACAGCCTTCAGGCCATGCTCAGTTGGTAAAAGTTTATTTTCATAAGTTTTCAAAGGAAGCCTTATTTTCCATGTTGTTCTGAATTAATCATATAATGTGATCTTTGTTCAGATCTGCTTTAGTCTCCAGTAGCTGGGGGACAAGGGACTCGCGTCTCCTTGTTCTTAGCAGTTTGTCAAGAATTTTCTGCTGAAGAGCTTTTGAACTAGAATATAAAATTAACAGGACCATTATAATGAACCAAAATGCCAAGAAGGAGTCAATGTGAGATGGACACAACAGTGTAATGTGACCGGGGTCAATAGTGGTGTATAGTGCTTTCTGGTTCTGCATCCTTCATTCAAATCATGCTCTTGTGTCTTGTGTAAGCTGCATGAAACACGCCGGCAAGTTCCACTCCATCCTCTGATGAAAAGCTGTTCATAGTGTAGAACCCACACCACTGACACCGAGGGTCTGACTTCTTAAGATGCTGAACAACTATGCCTTGTTCAGACTCAATGGGAATTGCAGATTTTGATCTTAAAATGAAGCATTAATATTTCCCCTTTAAGCAGTCTTAACAGCAAGGCTGCTTGCCGAGTGAGTTATGCCATACGGAGCTGCCTGCCTTGCCCTGGCACTGTTCTCTGCAGGTCATTGCTAGCAGAAGGGACAAGGAGTTGTCAGTATCATAACATGACATGTATTAAGTCTTAATACTCATTCTGCTTTCAGGGATGCAGGACAGGAGTGAGAGACAGGAGGACTCACACTGTGGGGCTGTGCAGGGAGGCAAGGGCAAAAGAAGTGGAAGTGGACTAAAACAACAAGAAAATCCCTTTCATGGGCACTGAGTTGTGCAGTGCTGTTATTAGGGAAGAAATTATAATACTGTCAGACAAGCTCTTTTTCTATCCTTGACAGGAACAGTAGCAAATTTTTATTTATCTTTTGCAGAATATCATTGTGATTGTATTTTCTAGCTGGGTTGAGAAGCTGGATCCAGAGGAAGTTCAGAGGTAACTGCTGGGCTGTGATAGCCTGAGATAGGCTCTAGCTGTAATTCAGTCACTGTGTCCACACTGTATTGTCTGTTAAGCCCTGTCAGGGCACACAGCACCACACATACCGCGTGCCAAAGAGCTTCTGCCTTGATGAGCTTGGAAACTAAACAAGATGTGAGGAGAAGAACCAGAGAAGAGATGTCCTGTGCAGGTGCTACTGTGTTCTGATGCTGCAGTTTTGAGTGGTACTGTCACTTCCACTTTTGCATGTGCCATTTGTTTGGGTAAAGATTAACTCATACTCTGAAGGTCACAAGTGATGTTCTCAGGATGTTAATGCACTTAATTGTTTTTTTTCCATAGGGTATTTTTCTTTAATCTCCCCTATGAATCCATCTTGGAACGACTGTCTCAGCGGAGGATTGATCCCGTCACTGGGGAAAGGTTAGCACTCCTGTCTGATGTTCAACATTTTTCAAGACTGCCAGTAAGATGAAAGCACCAGATAGACTTCATAGAAATCTAAGGAAACTCAGGAATATTGTACTCTTGCTTAGGGATTCCTTAAAAGAAAAGTTAAAACTTTCATAGCTACTCAAGTACCAACCCACCTACCTGCTGCAGCAAGCTCCTGTTCTCAGAATAGGACATTTTAAAGTCTTGGAGCCTGAAATCTACAGTAACAAGCAGCTCAGGTCTAACATTTTAATGGTTACTAAATTAGCTGGTAAAATAATGCCAAAGGAAGATTTCTGAAAACTAGCCTAAGTGCAGATGGTTTTCAGACATTCCCATGGGAATTTTGAAAGCTTCCCAGCCAGGGAAAATGGAAAATTTGCTGCATTTTACTTCCCCCAACTCCTGTGATGGTTTTGTCTGCTGTGAGATATTAATATATTTCCTACTCAGTAGAGCAAATTCATTCGAGTCACTGAGTCACTGTAAGACTGGGTTCTCAAATGTGGCAGTTCATCTCACTGGCACACACGTTGCCTCGTTTCATCAGTGACCTTCAGGTTTACTATATTCCCCACCTTTGTTTTTTGGGGAACAAGTAACAATTAAATATCTTCCTAAATACCTGCTGGAATTGGTGTAGATCTGCAACTGTGCTCTGTTTCTATGATTCCCCACAATTAAATTGTAAGTCACTGTTTTTCTTTTCTAATGGTTAAATGCATCCTATTGAATCAAATACAAGTACTGAACCCTCAAAGATTAAGGCCACAAATACTGGATTTGGCCCAAAGTGGTACATGATTATTCAGCCATCTCACTCGAGGTGCAATATTAACTTGTGACAGCAACAATGATTTGCTGTAACTGCTCTCGTTGTTTTAGTAAGAAGTGATCAGTTGTTCACAAGTTGTGTTTCTTATCTTTAGGATTAGCCTGTTCAGTATCTGCTCCAGTTAACACGCTTCCTTCTTCCAAACTCTGGGGTTTATTCCTTCCAAATTCGTTGTGAATTGAATTGTTTTAGATGCTGTATCTAATCCTCAGCATTATGTTAAACCTGCACGGCTGGCTACAGTGCAGTGAAGAGGGTGGCCTTCAGCTTTGCTCTAAGTAATTGCAATGTGGAATGAACTCTGTGACCACATCTTTGTAGCAGCTGGAGCTGCAGGGCAGTTCTGTGAAGAGACACAGAGACTCTCCTTCTCGCCTTCATTTCACATCTATCCCAAAAGTTTCAGAAAATTTGGCTGTACAGGAAGAGGGATAAACTATTCCTGTGTTAGGGCACAGGAGACATTTACTCAGAAGCAGAATTACCATGGCAGGAAATTTAAATACATGTTTGCAAAAAATACTTTTAGTGACTGTTGGGAGCCTTTGGCAAAGCAGAAACGTTGTCAGAATTCTTTTGGTGTCAGCTGTCTGGGCAGGCGGAGCTGGACTGTGGTACTGCTACACAACTGGTGATGAAAACCCCCTGTCCTGCTGAAGCCTGCTGACTAGTTGAGTGAACATACAACTGTGAATTCAGGGAAGCCAAACTCTGGCATTCTGGAAATTAGAAATAACCAAAACCTACCTCAGAGTGAATTAACCTCTTTGTATCTTCAGCTACTAGAAAAAGATGTTAGCAACTATATTCTCCACAGTATCTGCCCAGACCGAGGTAGAGTATTTGTGTCTTCTTAACTTCTTCCAGTGATCATTAGCAACAGTATTAACCCTACATGTAGCAGCTTATCACGAGGAAGCATACCTGTCCTTCAAGCTCGAGCTTGAGGTGATTTGGAGACTGCTGAGTGAGGGTTGTGCTTCCATTACCCTTCTGCCGCTTGCTGCAAGCACTCAGCCACACGCCTGCTAATAGGAAATACTTTCAGAATTTAGTATTGGTAATCCCAGCCCTGTTGCTGCACTTTTGCATCTTGGTGGGAAAGTTCCTGATGTTTGAGAGCCTTAAACACATTTTAAGTTACAGGTCCTCCAGCAGTGCCTGGACACTGGGCTATATTTGGGCTCACTGATTCGATGCAGAAAAAGCACTCAAAGTTTGGCAGTTTTTTCCTGACTAATATCTAGCATCAGCATAACAGTAAACCACAGCAAAGATATTTAACAGATGCAAAGGTTTAAGGTTAGGCTTTTATAGATGCTTTTTTAAAGATAGGAATCAGAGATTACAAGTATAATACGTTACTTTGGAACAGATCTGGAAATGTTTCTGAACCTGGAGCATTGGGGATGTAACAGGGGTTTCTCCACACCTCGTGTGAAGTATATAAACACTAGCAGCATTCCCTCTGTGTCACCTCAAGAGAAACTCAGCTTTTGAGTATCCGGGATTCTTGAGAGCAGGAATGACGGATTACTTGCCCTGAAATTTCCAAACATTGTTTTAAAGCCCCAGCCTCGAGTAGAAAGAGGCTCTTCAAGGAACTGTGACAGGTAAAACATGGAGTATGTTAGAAAGTGGCTGTTGTGTCCTCAACTTGAGCTGAAGCAGTGGCATTTGTATCTCATCCCCAGATACCACACTACTTTCAGACCAGCACCCACACCGGAGATCCAAGCCCGTCTCAGGCAGAACCCTAGGGACAAGGAAGAAAATATTGAGAAGCACGTGGAAACCTATTACAGAAATGTCAAGGAACTGGAGGATTTTTATGAAGATGCCTTTTATGTCAATGCTGACCAAGACCCTCATGCTGTCTTTGAGTTTATAGAAAGCTGTATCATTAAGCCCCTTCCATGCAAAAAAATTAAAAGCTAATAATTAATAAGGTTGATATCTGGAACAGTTAATTTTAAACTTTTCCTTGTAATGTTTGCAGTCCAGTCACTGAAGTGGCAGGTTGTCACAAGTGAAGAGGAAGTCAGCCAAGCTGTATTTAATTTAAAGCTCACTGAGTCTGAGTGAAGTACAGAGAGCAAGATATCGTGCTTTAGGGGAAATTTTTTCAGCTTTTGTTTTGTGATCCAAGGTATGAAGCACTGTGGCTAGAGAAGTTCCTGTGTTTGATTCAAATATCTTTTTCTGATCTGTGATTCAGTGAATAGTAGTTTTGTCTGAACTATGTAATACCCGTGAAGCCAACATGGAGAATTAAAGCAATTAGATGTGTCTGTGTCTTAATTCACCCAGTGCTCTCAACCAAAACTACAGGCACTACCTCTCTACCTCACTGCCACACTCTGCAAGCAAACACAAAAGCAACTAGAAAAACAAAGCTGCACTTTCCCCAAAGACAACAGCAGTGTTTTGAGGCCAGGGTGCAAGAGTTTCTAACCCCTTGTTAACTCACATTGCTTAGAAAGTTCTGACAAAACACTCTGCAGATGCACCAACTGTCCCCATCGCCCAGTTCTACAGTCCAACGCCGTGGCCGGGCAGAAAGACTCAAAACACCTGGACAAGCTATCAAGAGCCATAGAAAACGGGTTGCAGGTTCATAATTTTCAGAACCCAATGAAGGACTTAACGAGCTGCAGGAGCAGATAAGTCACTAAATTCTGTTTTTCTCAGGGGGTAAGGCTCTTGGCCTGTGGCTGCCCTGACTGAGCTGTAGCTAGGGCAGGTTGATACCCAGTTTTGTGGATCTGACTGCAGTAAATGCTCAGGTAAGTCTTTTTTAACTGCTAAATCCTTGATGAAAAGCCCATTACTGTTAGCTAGCTCAGACTCTGGCTGTGGAAATGCACATCCTTAATGCTTCTAAGAAAGGGGTGTGATTTGTTGTTGATTCAGAGGAGCTCTGAGTTTGATGCCTCTATTACGTCTCTATTTCTCCCTTGTTTATGAGTGTGAATTCCTCTTGACCAGGGGATGGGGAGGAGCTTTGACTTTCTCCTGGAACCCTCTGTGTCTGGAAAGATGCAGGAGGCATGTGCCTTCTCCTTTCAGAGAGCACAGTCCTCCAGGAGCCTTTTGGTTTTAGATGACTTCTCCGATCCTGTTGATGGAAATAAATTTGGATCTTTGTTGCTGTTCTTGATCGTCTGTGTCTAGGTCTGTAGGGAGTGTTGTAGAGATGTGCATGCTAAATCTCCTCCTTGCACCTGTAGGGTGAATTCAGATGGGAAGACCCTGGTTATCCAGGGGACTATGAGGGTATTTTATTATTTTGGGAGAGTTTAAGGTCAGAGTTTTCAGTATCTTTGGGGGAACTGGTGAATGGGAATTGGACTTTCCAGCCTTGAGGGCAGCTTTAAAAATCTCAGAATAAATATCTTTGAAATCTAAGAAAGCCAAATCCTCTGGCACCAGCGATGCAAGCCAAGTCCTCTGTGTCTCTTGTGCTGAGAAATTCTGGCTCGTAGCACCAGGCTGAGGCAGAGGCTGCTCCCACAGTACAGGGCCTCAAACCCTCGCACAAAGCTGGGCAAGGGCATTTATAACAGTCCTACCTGTTACAAATGTGCTGGTTGGTAACCTACTTGGGCAGCTGTTTTTTATGCTATTGCTATAAAGATACGCTGAAGCATGCATGCATAATTGGGAGCCCTTCTATTAATAATACATGGGAAGCTCATCTTGCTAATATCACCTTCATCTGAGTGTTCCTACTAAATATTTTGATAGATGAAATGGATAGAGAGCGTATTTAAATACTGTTTGTACTGCAGCTAGGGTACAAAAGGGACAGTGCATCTTTAATTAGACAGGTACATCTGCTTAATTAATTTAGCTGTAAAGCCCTTTTTCCTCTTCATTCTTTCATCTATATGCGGACGCTATATTAGTTCCGCTCTGCTGGTTCCATAGAAACTGAGAAAAAGAGCTCGTCTCATTGAGATGCGCTTGGCATGTCTGGGTACGGAGTCTCAGGTCAATGGTCAACCCCCAAGGGTTTGCAGCAGGCCTGAAGTGCAGAACGTAAGGGTTAGCAGAACATGCTAATACTCATGTAGAACTCTCCCTCAGAAACAACTAAAACAATTGACATTCATTTAATTACTGTAAACGAAACAGCCCCTGCATCACTTTGCATAGTAAAGCCTGTTAATACCAAAAAGGTTCAGTGGGTGGAAGGAGGAATTAGGTTTTTATAATTGGAATGCAACACTTGAAAACCAATTTGGTAACTACGCTTGATTTTATTAGCATCTTATTCTGGCAAAACAAATGTTGAGCAATGAGAAAAACAAGGTAAAGAGGAGGTGGTAAGAACGCAGCAGGGACCAGACGTTACTTATTGTACAGCTTGCCCGGTGCTGAAATGCACATCTTTTATCACTCCACTTTCCGAAGATGCTTTGCAGAGAGGGCTGCTTGGAGGTTGTGCTATACCCTATATATTATGCTGTTAATTACGTAGTTCAGCAACAAGATGAGTATGTCCAACTGTTCCACAAACTTTCGTGTCCGTCTGCTCCAAACAACAGATCCTTCGGTGCACTGTGGTGGAAGGCTGCTTGAACACCCCAGCACCGTCTCTGCAGGGACCCCCTGTAGCTCTTCAAGGATCTCCCCTGCAGCCTCCTTTGCTTTCTCACCTTTCTCTGTAAGGCTTGGGTGCTGATGCCAGCACAAAAGCCTTAAATGTAGCTGGTTTTGCCACCATCCATTCACAAGGTGCTGTAGAAGCTGTGGGACTGTAATGAAGGGAGGGCCAGCAAGGTGTCCGTACAGGTCCTCAAGATTTGGTTTAGAGCAAGGACGGGCTTGGCAGGTTCTTGTGCCTCGGTTCTGCTTCCCAGAGAGGCAGCTGGAGCCAAGTTGATCTTAAGTAGGAGCGACCTGGGGTTATGACCCTGTAACTGCCCGTCTGTGTCGCAGTTGCCAAAACTGAACCTGAAAGGCGGCTCTTGCCTTGTCATACGTACTTCATACAGAAAATTGTCTATTCCCCTCTACAAGCAGGCTCTCCTGGGTTATTCTCCTCTTTCTGCAACAAGAACTGTTTGATTCTACGGAAGAAAAGAAAAGGTGATGTCAGGCCCCTTTCATGAAAGAAAGTTGGTTCTTTAGTAGAATTGTTTCCTGGAGCTGGAGGGCTGCCACGCGGCGGTTCGGGAGGCCGGGGAAAAGAGGGGTTGAGCCTGCGCTGGTGAGGAGAAGGGAGCAGTGGTGTGGCTGAAGGGCACTTCCAGACCGCAGGTCCTCCCCCAGCTTCACCACTGGTGTTCTGTGACAGTGGCCACAGTGGGATTTTTACTACTAAGCTTTTGTTTATTTATTTTTTGAAGTGTGAACTCATATGCTGAAGGACTGACTGCTTAACTACACTGCTCTTTCTTGTCAGTCTCAGGTTCTGGCACCCCATGTTCCTCCCAGGAGTTCAGTCCCTTAAAATACAGACATTACAAACAAGTACTTTATTTATTTATTTAGAATAAAAAAGGAGCAGGATTACAATGCTACTGTTGCAGTATACAAAACATTCATCCAGGTTTGCTTCACGTTTACAAAATGTGCCATATACACAGCATCAATATTCACAGCAACTTTGTCAGACCCTTCCGGGAACTACATCTCAAAGGAAAAAAAACAAACTAAAGATTAAAACTCAACTTTGCTTTTCATTCAGCCTGGTGACCGTGTGGTCAGCCAGCTACACTCACACCCCAGAACAGAATTGAAGTAGCATGGAGAGATCAAGTAGATTAGTGGAGTAATTAAATTAAACTCTCCTCTGCAGTTCCATTTGAATGGCTCTTGGGTTTTCCCTTTTCAGGGCTGGCCTCCCAATTTCGTGTTAAATAAGAATGCTGCAGGACTGGCAACTCCTGCTGTGGGCTCTCAGCAGTGCATGAGTCCTCCTGGGATGAAGGTGCTCCAACATTCACCTTTGGGTTGATTCAGCTGCAGCCTAGGACAGCACAGGGAATTACTCCACTTTCTGCCCCAAACTGTAGCGTAGTTAATGCCAGTAAGTGCCCCGTGTACCTGCTGCATTGCAAAAATGAGAACAGTCATCCCTAGGCAGCTGTAAGCTCCTGAGGTCACTACCCAGATCATGGCAGAGCAGCAGGAGTTCCAGGTCTTTTGAGTGAAGAGCTTTAAAAACTGAGTTAGCATTAAAAAAACAGTGACAGAATAAGAGCATTCCAACTGACACCAAGGGTCTGGGAACATCTCCGGTGTAAAGGATGAGTTAGAACTGAGGACAGCCAAAGATTAGTACTGAAATTTAAGTGAGAGTATGTATACGAGGCCCTCCTCCATTAGAAGTGAAAACTAAAGCTCTGTGGGCATTGCTGTACAAGTTGTGAAAAACTATCCTGGACTGAGACTTCCAAGAGGCAGCTCGACTCCCTCTTGTGAAGTTTCCTGCGCCTTGGACAGGACTAGGACTCCAGATGAATAGAGCCAAACTCAAACTGCCCTTGTTTATCCACAGAGGGGGGAAAAAAAAAGCAGCTTTCCAACCTGGTATTTACCAGTGGAGCTGTACATCAGCAGACATCTCCACACAGCCATTTGTATCATTTGTTCTGGTTAAAGAATAAACCCTACCCATCTCAGTGTAAGTCTGGAGTATAACCAGCGTAATTTGCATGTTTACAGGCCTGATACAGAAAGCTTCAAAAGGGATTATGAGGGGGATGAGGACAGATGTCGTATTGATACCCACTTTGAGCATCTCACCTTTATTTACTGAGAACCCATAAACATCATCTTCCATTTAGTTTAGATGCTTACTATAAATCTGACTTTTGCCATGACTACCAACTTTTTGAGGCTAAGATTACTATCACCCTTACTTCCAGGGGCAAAAATATGAACTAGGGCTCTGTAGTAACAGATTTTGAAGTTTATTATATTGCGAAGTATTGGACTGCTACTAAGTACACACTTAGACAGTGACCGCCAGGAAGAATTCAATAAACATGAACTAGGTTGTAAAATGCCAGCCAGCACTTTATCGTGATCGACAGCAGGAAGCAGGCACACGTGGTCTCTCACTGACATACGCAGCTCCCCTCGTGCAGAAAGGCAAAGAGAATGAAGAGGTACCTTCCTCTTCCCGCAGCCACTGTCCTGCCCCTTGAAGAAAATCAACATGTCTAACTGGCCTTGCACATCTGTCTCGAACACAAAGTTCAGATGTTGTTAAAAGAGCAACAGCTTCAGTGATTAACCCCGGTGCTCTCCCTCGTCCCCTCCCTGGTGCTGTACCTGTAGGTGGCAACTGAGGCTCCTGCAATGGTGGCTGGAAGGCCACTGCTTCACACCCAGGGTAGGTCATAGAGGAAGGGGTCTGTGTTTGAGAAATTAGACTTGTACAAACAAGTCTCCTGTAAATGTTAGTTTAGGGCATAACAGCACAAGTGTGATTTGTTAGCCTTTAACTAGGACTATAAATGTTTGCATTCAGTTCTTTTATGTCAAGAAACCCTTAATGAGGATAGAATAAACAGTGTTATGTTGCCCATAATCACTGATGATACATTAGCCAGTAGAAAACCTGGTAAGGTTAAGCAAATCAGGGAAATATTTATTGCCTGTATGTATTAGCAACCATAGTATTTCCTTTCTAGAAATATACAGTAGGATTAATGGGATGGGGGAACATACAAAAGGAAAGGATGATTGACTTATAACCCCAACCTGTAGCTGAACTGAGGTAAAAGGCAGCAATGAGTTCCACTGTCACTGCTTCCAGAGCAGGAGGTGGGTGTAGTTTGGAGACCCAGGACAGAGTTCTCATGACCCCAAACTTTCACCTTAGTTCAAGCAATGGCATCTAGCACCAAGGCACTAAGAAGCTGCACAATCCAGAGCTGTTCTGCTTATCCATCGAACCTGAATTAGCCTGGATTTCTTCATCCCAGTGGAGGAGGGATAAACTCTTATCAGCATGAGTAGCAAATCTTAAATGCTATCAGAAGCTACTTATCAAGGACAATGATGCATTAGCTTCAGACATAGAACACAGCATCTCTGGCTATTAATTCTCAGATATGGGAGCAAGTACCACAAGTCTTAAAAAAAAAAAAAAAAAAAAAGCAGCAATGCATCAAGAACCACATAGTCTCTCTGCTGGAGCATTATTTTTCCTCTGGAGATGAGGCACCATGAACAGCCACCAAATGGTGAAGCAGTTCAGGAAAGCCTCCAACTACTCACTTGTTTGAGAGATCTTCCAAAACTTAGGGCAAAAACTTAGTGAGAGAAACTCTGATTTTGCAGGATTTATTCTTTGAATAATTCACGCGGTGTCTCAGAACAGACTGAGCCTTAATATTGGATAGCTCCCCTCTGTGTTAGTTTGAGAAGGCAGCTCTCTTAATGGCAAAATAACACACGGATCTGGCAGCGGGTGCTCGTACCTTCCTCACCCGCTCACCTTCGCCACGTGGCCTGAAAGCAAGGGGTTTGATTAGACAACGTGAGGGATAATGCATCAAGGTGCTGCTGCAGCCCTTCAGGGTGTTACAGTACTCCAGCAGGAACGGGACTAACCTCCACATTCCCAGAACTACAAGTCATGAGTCCAAGACGGATAAAAGGTTTCCTGAAGGAAGTCTCTGAGCTGCTAGCTGCGCAGAAAAGTCCAGTAAGATCAGCATCAGAGGTTAAATGTTACTGGTCTGGGTTATGCTGTACTGTTTGAGCCTACACTAGTTAAAAATACACTTAGGGACCAGTGACGGTTAAAAAAAAAAAAATTAAATCACAATACCTCTTTACCTGTTGTGAATGGGTCAGGGTGAGAAGTGAAAGCTTTGTGCTAAAGGATCTCCACTGGCATGCAGACAAAGCCGACATCATTGGCTTTAAAATTCCATTCTCCCAGCAGTCATAAATCAGGTTAAATAAACTGGCAATGGTATACTGAGTATCTACTGCCTTGAAAGACAAGGAAAATAAACATTAATGCTGCAACATTAATGCTAGGTGTACTAAAGCTTCTACATGTCTAAAGCATTAAAACTCAATCCAAGGAAATTCAAGAGAATTGCTATAAGTAATCACTGGGAATTAATCTAATGATACCATGCTGAACCTTTTGGTCAGCCAGACTTAAACATTTCAGCAGAACAGGATATTATTAAGGTTTCTAAGCCAATATCAAAGAAATGTTCTTTGACTTATTTTAAAAGCGCTTACACATGGTTCTGGAGAGCTCTCCCACCTTTTCCAGAGTTAGGTGAATTTCCAAATCTGATCACTTACTCATGAACTGGTCAGGCCTGCCTGAACAAGGACTTGCAGATTCCACGTAAAAGGTTTTTTTCTACCACCATGAATAAACCTGTTCAGTTCCTCTTGGAAATTGATGTTCTGTTCCCCCCCCCAAAGCCCATCAACACTGGGAAGAAGATAAATGCTGCCCCAGGTACAGTACCTGGCCCCCAAACTACGCACACATTAGGTATCAAGGTTACTCTTTGTTTTACTAGATGCTATCATGATCTACATTTTCTTTCTTAGTAGACACACTGAAGTAATTTCAATTTGCAATGCACAGCAATAAAAAACTAAACATTTCTTTAATACAATTATGGTATCACTTCCAAGGATATTTACAAACAAGGCTGATTATTTTATAGATGAATGTGCTTCTGCTGTTCTAGGCTACTACATTATTCTCAGTTGAAGCACTATCATGCTTAATGCATGAAACACTGAATAGTAAGGACAGCTGACTTGTTTTAATGTTAGTTGAAATAATATTTGCTCCTACTAAAGGTGAAGGAACGTTAAGAAAATATGCATAGTCACTGAATCAAGGAAACTTAAGCACCAATCCACACATGCGTTGCTGGAGACTGATACCGTCAGGACAATTCCTCGATTTCTCAAATAGCTGTAGAGCACTTCACACACAATTAGAAGTGTCATGAATCACAAACAGGGCAACACATCTAAGTGTCCAGATTAGGACTTTGAAGAATGTAAATACATAAACTTTGGATTATTCGACAACGTGGATTTAAGTTAACAAGACAAACTGTACCAAATAATCATACACATTTTGGAGGTATTATTCCTCTAACACTGCATAGGAAGTTGAAAAGGATTCTCCTGCTCCCCATAGGAACTAGATGCCAAAGAGAAAAAGATTGTTTTTTTCCGATAGGACAGTCAAAAGGCAGAATAAATTTCTGGGCTCAGCCATGCTACATCATTGGCGTATTTATGAATCTCTTGATGATAAAGTTGGGGTTATACAAGAACAGCTTTACCAGACTCCATGACCACCTGTGGAAACTTTACCTGTAACACGTCAGCCACGGTGGTGTTCAGGTTTGGAAGTGTTTTGTCTGGGTTTTTTTTTACTGCATTATTAAGAAAAGAGAAACTGTCAGCTGGGAGTGATTACTTGTGTGTCAAACTTCTGTAAAACTCAGTTACTGTATGAGGGAGACTCTCGATTTAAATGAAAATAAGGTAAATTGGTAATGGGTTTGGTGACTAAGTTACACTAGAAAAGATGACTCCTTTTGGTAAAGTGAAACAAAAGGCATACACATTGGCAAAAGCTAGGAAGTAGTTAGAACTCAGTTCAGAAAAAGAAAGTGGGCAAGAGACTTAGGAGCATTGGAAATTATATATATTAGTGTTTAATTGCTATTAGTTTAATAATTATTACATTTAAAAATTATTCTTACTGATCCATATTTGACCCAGGCAGCCAATATTACCCTTCTGACTGTAATACTGTTATAACAGTTAAGAGGCAGTTATTTTTCTAGACTTAAAGTGAAACTAATATAATGGCCAATTTCTTTCCTATGGCTGTAACTAGTATAGGCTTCACTCTGCAAGAAATTAGAACCACAAATTATTTTGATAGTTTAATATTCTGCAGCAAGTGCCAGTGCTTGTTAAAAAGCAAATGAGAGCACTACAAGCTGAAGCCTTCTCTACCCACCAAGACCACTCAAGAGGCAGCTCCGCTGTTCCCGTCCTAGCCTTTGGGAAATCACACAGCTGTCAGGCAGAAAGGACAGTTCACACCATGTGCTTAAGACTTCAGTTCCTTTTCAGTAAAAGGAAGCGTGTGCAGCTGCTAATGCTTCAACGGGGTGCATTTCCAAACCGCTTTATAAACTCACTCTTCCAGATGTACTCCTGTTTCTGGAACATGGAACAGGCTCTGGACTGAAGGAGTTTCTAGAACGTCTGATGTTCTATTTACAGGGTTGTGGACAATGTCTTCCCCCTCCAGTAAAGTCTGTTTTCCTGTGCTCTATACCCTTCCAGACTGAAGGGAGTTTATGCAGTAGAGAAAATATTTTCGATTTTTACATAGCTTCTCTCTAGAACACAGGAGAATCACAGAACGTGCAAGGTCCTTGCAATAACCGCTTGATCCATTCAGGATCTGCAAATAAGAAAACAAGTTGTTTAAAGCTGGAGGTAGAGATGAACACAGGAATGACACCCGAGATGGACAAACTAAATAGTAATCCTGAAACAGTTTGTATATATTCACCATGCAGGATTAACTGGGAGTTCAGAGGAATCCAACTCCATTTTTGTCTTGAAATTTCAAGTAATGCCAATTTAAATCCCACTTCAGTAGGGGACAAAATTTAAGTGAAACGGTCCATGCTGCATCATTACATACTCATCTAAATTGCTATACAGCAAAAAAATTTTAAAGGATCACCATGCCACAAATGTAGAGTCCTCATTTTCTTAAGTGAAATTAGATCCTTCACGTAATGTAGTCATTGGTTCCTGTTTCTTTGTCCCTCTTCAATATAAGGAAATTAAGTTTACAGACTCTCTCTACAGATGTTTAAGTTCTGTAGTTGATCCTTAGCACTGACTGGAATACCCCCATATTATGGGGAAAGGTATCCCCTATGCTTTAAGACAAACTGTTAGAGTACTCTATTTTTTTAAGTGTACCAGTTGGGAAGAAAACAATTTTCTTGCACAGCTTGTCGTTCCTCAAACTCTGAAAATGCAAAGCCAAAAGGCTGAGTGTATCCCAGAGCTGCCGTCCTTGTCTCTGAATGATGTACTAATGGCAGATGTGGGTCCCAAGCCAGCAAGGTGCCAACTATTTCTTAACCTGTGCTGGATCAATACAGCTTGCACTGAAATAGAATGTCAAAGACATCAGCTCTTGCAGAACTGGATGCTAATATATTCAACTTGAATATAAACCAACTGTTACAGGACTCCAGCACAGATTATGTGTTTAACCAGCTCTCGTTAAAGTGTAGTATTTATAAGCTAATTTCTATAGTCACTATTTTGTAATTAATATATGCCACTAATGCACGGACAGCAACAGGATACCATGAAATGTAGAGTACTAGTACTTTGCTTAATAACTGCCTAAAAGAGAAAAATCAGTAAAACTAATTCATTTTGCATATAAAACTTAAGAATATATAATCCTGCCCCTCTCAGCCACAGGAACAGTTTACCTTCTGGTGTTGGATGCCGTGCAATGCTGTCATGAAGCAAACACCTCCTGTATACCAAACTCTGACAGGACTGGTAGGTTAGGAAGCACCTGTGAAAGGAGAAGTAGTTTCATCAAGAGGCCTGGGGTTATATTGTTTTGGTTTGTGACCTGCTCCTATGCCCTGACTGGAGGCTGAGTTCTGTTCCCAACAGACCTTGATTAAGAGCAGTCATGTGCCACATGAAACAGGAAAATTAATAATTTATTAACTCAGGTAAATGAAACTTCACAAGTGTACCCCATTACATTTGGTCACAAAAATGAAAAAGGCCAAAAATCAATATAACATTGAGAAAAGTTCCATCATAGGCCAAAAAATTTTATCATACAGTAGAAGAGGTGAAAAGCTTGAGGGTTCCTGCATAGGGGAAGAACCACAGTGCCTTTAAGGCAATGACTATTTAGCCAAACTATTGCATAGCATCTGTTAGGCAAAGATTTTCCTTTGTGACAGACTACTGACTTGCCAAATCTCCAGGGACAATCACCATGTACTTGATACATCAATGCTGGAAGATCTCCTTTTCTAGATGTTCAAGAACTTGTTTGACTTCTCAGTGTGGCTGTTTCCAATAACTTTTTGTTAAATTACTTTGTTTTCAAATGCTGAAGTAGCTAGAACAAGCCCTCCTTCATGTGCTGTTCCAAAGGATCAGTTCTGCTTGATTCTCCCTCCCCTACTCTCTCCTTGCCCCCATCCTCCCCCTGCTTGAAGAAAAAAGTTAAAGATGATCAAAAGCATTTTATTTTAAAAACAGTGTACTGATAAGAGAACCAAATCCAATCTACAGTGCCCTCTCTCTCACGGAAGAGGACAGGTAACAGCCAGCAAAAATTGCAATTAACTGCAGCATGGGTAACAATGCTTCACAGCTTTTTACTCCAACACTAAGAAGTGGTTTAGGTTAGCTGTTTAAGTATGTTTAAATTATCCAGAGGATGGCAAAAACTTTTTAAGAACCAATTACCTGAGCCAAATATGTCCATTGGAGCAGACTGCCTGTTTGCGATCAGTGAATGGCAGGATCTCTTTACACAAGCTGCAGTGCTCTGGAAAAGTCTGTTTGTTCATTTTCTTTAAGATATGCCCAATCAGCACCTGGGAATACACAGCAGTCAGCATTGTTTACAGCAAGACAGCTGCCTACTGAATGGTGGAAATGTCTCTCAGAGTACTGTGATTTCAGATTATGATACAGGATGCAAAGAGCTATGCTTTTCACTGAATTCAAAAAAATAAAGGCCTAAGAAATATAATACACTGATAAGTATTAATTTCTTGTAATTTTCTTGTCACCTCCTAAAGATTTCTGTCCCACAGTAACGGGATACAGAACTTAAGAGCAATAGTGTTAAGCTACTTGCAAATTTTAAAAGTACTGAAGAAATTGGTATCATACCACTTTAGAGGATGCCACTGACCATTACAGCAATGGTTTCACATTCTCATGCCTGTCACAATGGATGTGCTAAAAAAAAAAATGCTGTTCAGAAATTACATGGATGCATGTCTTCAGCAGTCATCTTAGAGTATATGTAATGTTACATTTACGTGATCATTTACGTGATCAAATTTGTCTTTGACATTTCAATAGATATAAACCACATCCTAAGGGCCTTTAAAATGTGACAGCAAACCGAACAGATAAAATAGAATTTGGAAGTCAGCTTTTAATCACTATAAAAAGAATCTTGTTTACAAAATAAGGAAAGCAACCTCTCAAACCTTCAATTCATAGTAATTGGATGCTAGGAAAACACAGCAGTTCTGCCAGAATACTCTCCCAGGGAATTACTGATGACCACGCTGTGTGGCCTGCTTGCTCCCAAGTCCAGCAGAGAGAACACCACACTACATAGGTAATGGAAATGTGCTTCCTTCCTCTGTCTTTCTGGATGCAATGTAAAAGTTGATTTTTTTTTTTTAGAGTTTAAGTGATTTAAGGGCTTAGGTACTGAAAAGAACTGTTCTCTGCTCATACAAAGAAGTACGCAGACATCTGAGACATTCTTGTCATCGAGTCTTAAGAGCTGGGAGGCCAACAGCAGACTGTTCCCACTGAAGCTTCCTTTGTCTGACATCTATATTCAGAAAACTTCATTGCCCAGCACAAGGTTCACTAATCACTCATTTCCTGCCACAAATGCTTACTCTACACATTGCAATAGCCCTGATATTGTCCTTGTGGTTATGCTTTTACTTTGATAGGGCGTATTGCAAGTTTAGGAAGAGTTCCTATCATGGCCAAGCATTCCATTATGCTTATTTATTGTAGTTCAATAAACGCAAGGGTGCCTGAAGGTTTAGGCCATGTATGTTATAACAAAGACATTCAGTCAGCTTGGTTAATTGAAAGTTCTGCAAAAAGTTCTGAATCATTGGATTTTACCACATAAAACACAATCGCTCTCTGAACCTCTGTAACTGATCTTTCCACCAAAGGCTCACACAGCAAGGACAAGACCTGATGTACCACCTGAACAGTCACAGTACTTTCAATTATAACTACTTTAGCAAGCGATACTGCAACTCTTAAAATTCAGAACTGCAGACATAACTGACTAGAGGAAATATCTCTTAGTTTTGTAGCGATGATAAATTAAATAAGCTTAGCCACGAAAACAAACATCTCTCTCAATCAGTACATGTTCTAAACCCACCACCGGCAGTAGAGTAACTGTTGTCCTCTCCCTTGCTCGACAAAAACTCAGGAATGCTTATTCTATAACGTGCCTGATCCAAATTTCAATGTCTGTATTTACATTCCCTCCTACTCCATAATTTCAAGGAAGGACAACATAAGATGTATGCTCTATAGAAGCTGACTGGCAAGGATGACATGATTACAGTTCTCTTTCCCACCCAAAGTTGTATTTTCATTTAAGGATACGGAAAGGGGAGAAAGAATTAACTTGTACCAGCAAATCCCCAGAGCATAGAGGTGCACTTACTCGTGCTGTTCTGTCATCATAGCCATCATCGGACATTAAGAAGTCACAGACTCCTCTGGTGGGAATACTGGTGTTTTCTGTAATCCATGTGTGTAGATAAACTTCTCCCAACACCCGTTTCATGTGCTCTCGTGTCAAGTGCATTTCTACTGCCTCAATCTGTGCCTGTATTTCAAGAAGTTTTTCTTCCATTGGCTCACGGCCTCCTATGTCACTTGACTGAGGAAGAGAATCATCTGCAGTGTCATCTATGTCCATACCTTTGCCTGTGTCACATAGGCTCTGCTTGCTGGCTTGTTTAGAAGTTCCTTCCTCTTGATCATCTTCAGTGCTGCCCATCCCAGGGGAATCCGATATCAAGATTTTTGCATCCTCATGTGACGGTCTCCACATGACCTCTGAGGGAGCTTTCTGCATTGACTGGTACAAAATCCTCAGGAGAAATAGCTTAAACCGCCAGAAGTAAGTAGAACCACAGCTCTCAATCTTTTTATCCAGTGCTTCCTGTAAGAATTGAGGAATATGCTTATCCTTCAAAATTTTCCAGCGTACAAGATCTGTCAAGTCCACTTGCCGGAAAAGGTTCTGAACAGAAGATTCCAAGAGCTGCGCAGCTGCCTCCTCAAAAGTCTTAAGGGTTACAAACTGAACCTGGTAGTTTTTGTTAACTGGGTGCAGACCGTTAGTCATCCCTTCTGTCGTGATAACTGCTAAGTACGCCCCACACGGGCTAACAGCTATTCCATGAGTCCTGACAGAGCCAAACACTTCCGAGAGCTTAATCAGCTGGTGCTCAAACTTTAAAGCAACGTCTGTGAATATAGGAATCAGCTGCCTTACCTTTCCATCACTGGAGCACGTGTACACTGTGCCATTCTGTTTGTCCGCAGTCATAGATACAATCGGCAAAGAATGAAGCCCTGTCACGTGGGAATTATGGACATTAAGACCCGCTTTGGATATCAACAGGAGACACCAAAACACGTAAGCTCCTCTTGCAGCCACCACTAAGCTACAACTACATTTCTGGTAGGGGTGGTAAAGAGGAATGCATTTGATGCTATGCACTGGTAACTGGTCCATTTCTTGCCATAAGACTACAGGTTGTCTCAGCGTAAAGTAGCCTTTGACTGCTTTTAGGTTGACAGGAAGGATCTTAACCGGTCCAAAAGCACTCCCTACTATAAGTCCACTCATCTTTCGGTTGTTATGTTCATATTCCCACCAGGACAACACACTTGGGGAATTTATTCCGGACTCTATGGTATTGCAAGAAGTAATTGATTCCTTACCCAGAAATGGAAGCTGAAATTGCCAAACTGCAATGTTACCGTTTTCAAAGAGTACTGCTAAGAGCACGCTACCGACATCCCGGCATTCGTTGTTGTGTTTCACCTGCTGAGTGGTGCAGATGCCCGACCACTCCATGCGCACTGGAGTCTGCATGCTGTGCCGTCGCTGAAATTCAGAGAAGTCTCCCAGTTCTCCCCTGGGAGCATCAGCCTTAGAAAGTTTGTAACTGGCTTCGTACAAACGCTCCCCGTAGATCTCTGTCAGGTCCACCAGCTGCACCCACTGCAGTCTGTTGAGGTTTGCATGGATGGTCAATCGATTGTCCATGGTTAAGGCTGCAAGCAGGCATCTCCCGTTGGCGTCACAGCCCAGCGGTGACCAGCTGGAATACTTGAATCCTCGCATGGGTGGCAGTGACTTCCCCTCGGGATTGAATACTCGATCTAGCATAAAAGTCTGACTAACTGTTGGATCCACTGAACTTGCGAACTTTTCTTTACATTCAGCTACTTCCTTTTTTGGACCAACCTGAAAGATAACAAAAAGGACTTTTAAAACAACTGGAAAAGTTTTTTTTTTTTTTTAGAAAGACTTTCTTGGAATTAATTTCCACTTGAAACAGAGCATCCCCTATCGCAACCTATACCACACTGTCCCAACAGTTAATTAACGTCACTCTTAAAGACTTAAGCTTCTTTGTTGGCCTGAATTTGTATAGCTTTGACTCTCAGCTATTCGATCTTTAGTGAATCAGAGCCTGTTTTCATACTTCTGTTTTCAAGTGTGTACTTAAAGGTTCTTGGCATAACATTTGACCTGTAAAGCAGTCAGTATTTCAACTCAACTTATTCCATATTCTCAGCACTCTTTTGGAGAAAAAACGAAATCAGATCCACGGCAGCAGAATTATTATTTAATAAGATATTCAGGCAGACTTGCCACCCGTCTGTGCCAAGTGTGAAGTCAGATGCACCCCCCCGAAGCCCAAAACAGTCCCTGCTGCGAAAATCTTCCAGCTTAGGTAGCAAACCGGAGAATTCTACTTAAAATGTTACTGAAGTGATTGCCATCAAAGTACTGGAGCTCAAGCGATTCTTAGAAAAAACTGCTGAACTTTAGAATCCCTAAAAACCGTTTGATACTGGGCTGTGTTTCACCCTGACATCACCGGGCTACGTGTAGGGGTTTTTATTCCTTCCCCTGCGGTTTTAAAACGCATCGGCGAGTGAAATGCAGCGTGAGCCGCAGAAAGTTGTGCCTGGGGCTGGGGCAGCCCGGGGGGGGGGGAGGCGGCCCCGGGCCCCGGGGGGGGGAGGCGGCCCCGGGCCCCGGGGGGGGGAGGCGGCCCCGGGCCCCGGGGGGGGGAGGCGGCCGGTGCCGGTGCGGCGGGCTGGGCGGCTCACCTTGAGCAGGCAGGCGGCGGAGGGCGCGGGCACGGCCGTGCGGTGGATGACCATCTCCTGCCCGCCGCTGTGGACGTCGCTGAGTTGCTCCAGCACGGCGATGCTGCGGGCCGTGCTCACCGACACCCGGTGGTCCTCCGACCAGGCCAGCGGCTCCAGCCCGCTGACGCCGTGCTGCAACCGCACCGCCGGTTCCCGCCGCACCGCCGTCAGCCGGAACCCGGCGCTCGGCGCCGCCGCCGCCGCCTCCTCGACGAGCGAGTCAAGCCCCAGCGGCGGCTCCTCCTCCCCCGCCGACAGCGAGGGGCTGCCGCCGCGCTCCGCCGCCGCCGCCATCTTACCGCCGCCTCACCGGCCGCCGCCGCGCATGCGCCGCCGCCGCCCGCCGAAGCCCCCGGTCGCCCCGGCCGGGGCTGCCCCGCCGCCGCCTGCGCCGTCCCGCGGGCCCCGGGTGGGAGCGACGGGCCGACCCCGCTCCCCACAGCGGGGTGGCTGCGGCCGGGTTGGTGGGGGGGGGCTCGGGGTGAGCGGCTGTTCACCGCGGTGGGGCCCCCCGGCCGCCTCCTTCCCGCCCTCGCGGGCTGGGCCCGGCCCGAGGGGCGGCCCCGGGGCCTTGCGGGAGGCGGTGGGCCATGGCGGCGGGCGGGACGACGCGCCTCAGCTCGGCGCCGCGGGGCCGCGTCTCCAGCCGGGTAGGAGCGGCCGCGGGGGGGGGGGGGGCGACACTTTTCTGGGACTCGGAGTGCCGCTGCGGGCCGGGGCCGCGGCTCTCGCCCTGACCGGGGCGAGGAGGGGGGGGGGGGGGGGGGGGGCAGCGGCCGGGGACTGGCCTGGGGTCGGCGTGGCTGGGAGGGAGGGGAGCTGGCCTCTAAAAAGTTGCTAAATGGAGCTTTTGGCTTTTCCCTCCCCGCGACGGGGTGAATACCTGCGCGGGGGTCCGGTGACGGCCCCGGTGCCCTGGGAGCGGGGGGGGAAACGGCGGGTACGAGCTTCTGTAATGCCGGGCTGCTGGGGATTGCCCTGCCCTTCCCTCGCCTTGGCGGCGGCTTTTGGCTTGTCGGGGGCTGGCTGCTGGGGCTGTGGGTGACGCTGTTCCAGGCCGCAGCCTCATTTAGAGATGCTTTGAAATGCTGCCACGGAGGGGAGGTCCTCTTGTATTTTAGTGTGAACTTCTAATTGTGGAAATGCGATGAGGCGCGGGAATAGGTGCTTTACTCTTAGAAGTCTGAGGAGAGGAGCACAGGAATGGGTTAAATAGGCGTTTTCAATTTTAAAGTTATTGTTGCTGTGATTCCAGGTTGTTTCGACTATTATTCTTAGTATTTAAATAATTCTTAAAATATGGTGTAAAAGTATGTGAGAGTTAAGTGATTGGCAGGATTTACCCTGATTATATTAGGTACTTTGAGGTGGGGCACCACCACCGTCGTTTTTCTGATAGTGAATGTTGGTGGAAGGAAGTTGCGTTTTGGTTGGTTGCCAAAAATGTGAAGAAACAAGTAAGAAAAGTAGTAGAGCTTGAAAATGATATGGTTCATAGGAGGACAAATAAAAGCAGGGACCAAGATTGTGCTGGCGTGTCACACATTTCAGGAATTTTACAATCATGTCTCGAAAAAACAGTCCATTGAAAAGGGGCTGGGGGATGTTGAAGAGCTTTGGGGACCAAAGGAAGTTAAATTTAATTTTCTTTTTCCCTATTCCTGGAGGGATATGAGAAGAGCGAAAGTTTTTCTCAAGACGATTGGAAGATCGGTAAAATAAAATGTTTGCTGCAAAAAAATAAATAAAGAGCTCAGAAATGCTGAAAGCTGGCAGAAGCATAAGTTGGAGTGAAGTACAGGCCATCCCTCCAGCCCACAGAAAGAAGGAAGCCTATGGGGATGGCTTCAATGTAATCAGGAGATTTGCAGAGCTTTTGAGAGAGATTTTTAAAGCCTGTTCTGTTCAGTTACTGGAGAAGCTAGATGAAATCCTTTAGAGATGAGCACCATACATGGTTTTAGATTTCTCTTTGCATTTCAGGAGTGTTCAGTGCTCTTAGGCACGGTGGTGAATCTGTTAGAGTAGGAATTGTCTAGCTGCAAAAATCAAACTTACTTTGTTTAGTCAGGGATAGGGTATTCCAAAAATAAGGGATCTGTCTGTGGGCTGTTTGCATTCAACATGATACCATGTTGTTAATTCTCAGTCATTAATGAATTCTTGTTCTCTGGTTTGTTTGTTTGTTAATATTATAGCAGTCTAGCACTCTGAAGAGAAAGCTCCAGTCACCACATGGAAACCCACCTTTGAAACGTAAGCGTAAGCCATCAGTAAACACCTTCAAGAAATGTGCTACAGAAGCTGACATCAAGGAGAAGGGAAGTTCGTCACAGAAGTTTCTTCCTAAGAAGCAGTTGACTGACAACCAAAATGAAAGCCAGAAAAGCAAACCTTTTGTTAAGACGTCCAGCCTGTTTAAAAACAACCCTGATATCCCAGAAATTCACAGGTATTTTAGACAAATGGGAGGAAAAATCACTTTCAATGCCTTGAAATTCAGTGCCTTGAATTCTTGCCCTTGATTGGGTAAAGCAGTTGCTTGATACATGTAGTTTCATTACTGTTTATATAGAATAGTATTGTATCATTTTTAACCACACCATGTGCTTTGTTTTGTTTTGGTTTGTTTCCCCTAACTCAGAAGAGCAGTGCAGCAGGTGCAAGAAAATATTTTCACTACAGATTCTTTTAGCCAGTTGGACCTTCATCCACATCTGGTGAGTGGCAGGAAGGCTGTGCGCCTTGAAACATGCTTCTTTGGGTGAGGAGCAGGTTAGAGACCTGAGAGATGCACCTTTGTTCGTGGTGACTTGGACAGGCTTGCCAGTACTTTGCCTGATTGTGTTGCAGTCTCTTAGCTCAAGGTGCCGGCCGATGTCCTGACCTGTCCCCAGGCACACTGTCCCAGCACCAACTGTACAACGGTTTACAGTTGTAATACCAAGAAAATCACAGAGAACTAGTTGTCAGTGCAGTATTTTAACAAGTCTGATATTTCATGGTGTACCAGCAATGGTGTAATTCTGATGAACTAAGAAATATTTTGAGGACATGGGAACTTTTACATCCAGTTGCCCTGGACCAGTAATGTAGGGAATAAGCATCAGTCTTGGTTTTTCCTTGATCTTGTATTACAAAAAGTAACAAAAAGAACAGTTTAACAATGAAACCTGCTTAATGCTCTTTATTATCTCTCTAGATCTCCACAATAAACACTGTCCTAAATATATGCAGCATGACCAGGTAAGCAAATTCATGTAAAAACTTTGCACTTCACTACCCCTTATACCCGATCATCTATGAATGTTTCATTATATGTGATGGGCTTGTGAAGCCCACAGTACCCGGTAAACTGTCCCATTTGCCATAGAGTTTGTTGCTTTCAAAATCTGGGATGAGAGATAACTGGTAAGTTACGCAGCAAGTCAGTTGTCACAGCTGAAGAGGGAACCTTGGAATCCTGCCTTCTAATTTGGTACTCGAATCACAAAAACATCTTTTTTTCAGTTTATCACATCTGATGCTTATATAGTGACTTTCTCTAGAAATCACCTCTGCTGGTGTAGTTACCCAGCAGAGATGAATGTGTGGAATTTAGATTAAACAGTTCTGAAATGGTCACTGTATGCTAAAACCTTAGCATTCTATGCTGTGTTGCATCCATATTTCCTAACCTGTTTTATTTGTTACAGTGTTCAGAAGCAAACGATTCCTGTGCTCCTGCAAGGCAAAGATGCTCTAGTGAGATCTCAGACTGGTTCAGGTCAGTATTTAATTGTTAGTCTCCTCCCCTAGTGCATATTAAACTGGATCTCAAATACAGAAACAAAACCTCACATTCCCAGTACAGCTCATAAAAGTGACAGTCTGGGAAGCCTGGCGTGGGACTGCTGTGACACAGACAGATGCTGTGCAAACTTCTGCAACAATGCAGTGGCAGGACTGAATGCTGATGTGCAGCTGCCAGCAGCCCCGTTGCACGTGGGCCTGTGCTGGGCTCACACTGGGGATGCAGATCCAGGAGCCCAGCAGAGTTAAGCAGCACACACTCTTACCTTGCAAACTTAAGTGCTTGCTTGACAGCAAACTATGTCTGGATGTCTCATTTCCCTGGTTAGGTGGGGATATATATTTAGATAGATCTTAGTGGGCTACCACCACCTCTCTTTTTTTAAAGTTTAACTCTTTGGTGAATTGCCTGTTAGTCTTCCATTCTGGAAACTCTACTTAAAACTTGTCCAGACTCTGCCCTCAACTGAAGAATGGTAGGATGAACGGTACTTCAATTTGCTGTAGTTCTGCAATTGCCACCTTTTTTTTTGATGGAAGCGGTTCTAATTTTCTCCCTTTTAAAAAGGTAAAACTCTTGCCTATGGGATTCCACTTGTACAGTCTTTGCAAGGAATGGAATCCAAAATACAGGTAGGTGCAACATCATTAAATATATTTGCTTTTGATATTAAGATTAATAAAAATAAAATCCAGCTCTTACCTTGTATTCATCTCTATCTCTTCTTGATACAAAAGTCAAGCAGTCTCTTTTCCCCCTTTATTTGTACATGTGGCTTATGTGATCATCCTGTACTGTTGAGATCCAGCGGATACAAGAACAATGTTACACACTCCCCATTACTTCATGCAGTAGGCTAAATTGTAAATAGGCTAAATTGTCAAATTTAGAGAAGGTAGAGTGCAGAAGAGGCAATGGTCTGGAAGCTGGGAGAACTGGAAACAAAGGTTACTGCCATGTCTTCATGAGTAATAAGTTTCTGATTTTTGACATGAAGTAAGATTTGGTAATTGCTCCCAGTTGGGCTCATCTGATTGACCAGAAAATGCTGCTGCAGATCTGCCATCTCTTGTGTGTTTATGGAGGGAGATCATCAGGATTCCTTATGGGTTGAAATGTTTCCAACCCATCCTGGATCATTGCTTTTTGCAACTACTACCTACAGATTGTTGCTGTGCATCAAACATGAGAGTTTTTCTGAAGCTCAGAAATACAAGAGTGAAACAATATGTGTGTGGAATAAATTGCTGGGTATGACTGTGAAGAGGTTTCCAAGCAGGAAATGGAAGGCAATGAAGTATTGATATTTGAAAGACTTGATTTTTTTTTTTTAAAGCTGGGAGGGAGGAATATCCCCAACTATATGTCCAAACTTGTGCTAAAAGCCTTCAGAATTTACTTTGTTGGCTAATAGCAGTTAGACATGGAAACATGGAAGTGCTTTGTTTATCAGCGTTACATTCTTCCTAGCTGACCTCTTGTCTTCTCTTTCCAGCGCAGTGATGGGCCTTATGCACTCA